TTCCTTCATCGTCTCCGTTACACCGATTCACTCGTTTGCTTCCTAAAGTTTTCCTTATAATTTTTCTCTTTCTTTCTACGAAACTATTCATTTTATTTATATTTGTTTTGTTAACACTCTCCTCTCTAGAAGCTTATCGATGCTTTCTTATACATCCTCAGTTTTATCGTCTTCGTCTTTTGCATTCACGTTTCTAGCTCTTAGCAGTTCTGCAAGGTAATTCCTGGACAGGGTAGAAAGATAAAAAAAAAAAAAAAGAATCGGAAACATTAAACTGTTAAGAAAAATATGACAAAATAAAAGGTGGCGGCCATTTTTTTTTTCTTCATTTCTTGGTTTTGAGAGTCTTTTGCTTATTCTGATCTCAACCCTTCTTGCACATAAATATACGCCTGCGCACGATGAATAAACTCACACTTACGCACGTCCGCAGTCACCTCCTCGCGTTCATCTAAACACGTCTACACGTTCCAGCGTAGATTTAATCAGTAAAAAGAATCAAATATCAAACATCCCAATAACCACAGGCACACAAATGAGGGAGTGCTTCCTAAAATCTGACCAAATGGCCAAATATCATATCTTTGTGGTGAAGAGTTCTTTTTTTTTCAAGCTGAATACGTTTCTCTTAGATTATCTATGCAAACATACACTATAATACAGTTTATAGAGATTACTACTCCCACACGAACGCACAACATACACAAGCACACACAAACGTTCTTTATAGATTCATAAACTGACAAATTGATAAAAACATTTTCAGTCAATACCTAACTTTTGTTGACTGAAGACACATGCACAGACGTACAGCTATTCCTAAAAACATAGATATAAACATTCACATGATCAATAATTGGCTTCAAAGACGTAAGCATCAATACACACTGGATAATAAAAAAAACAGGTAAAATAAAAATCAGTTTTTGTCACAAATACACCTAAATAAAAATTGGCAAAATGCATCAATAAATACTAACATATCTTTTTACTGTTTCTTTTCTAAAAAAAAAAAAAAAAAAAAACAACAATACACGCCCGACCTAAAATGGTCATTCGTATATTTCTGAAAAATTCGTTGACATATATGAGAGAATCTGTATATATTATTTGACGATTACCTGACTGGTTGACATTAATTTCATAGTTAAAAAAAAAACATGTCTACTCAATAAAATGTATCTGCTGAATATGACGTATACTGTAATAACTCATCATTTGATGTATAAATGGTAAATTATATATATATATATATATATATATATATATATATATATATATATATATATATATATATATATATATATATATATATATATATATATATATATATATATATATATATATATATATATATATATATATATATATATATATATATATATATATATATATATATATATATATATATATATATATATATATATATATATATAATATAGCGAAATATAAAAAGATCGTTTATACTATAACACGTGAAACAGACGATTGCATATATATGAAACAGACTGTCAAGTGTTGACTTTATGTTCACTTTATATTTCCACACGCTCTATCTCTGATATCGAGCACTTTATCCCATAAATAAATTGTAAGGCTATATATATATATATATATATATATATATATATATATATATATATATATATATATATGGAACATTGAAGTCAACATTTAGAGGCGATAGGCTGTTTGATGCTAGACGCAGGCTGGTGGTCTCAAATCTTGACTTCAAAGTTCACTTTTATATTCACAGACTCTATCTCTCTCTATATATATATATATATATATATATATATATATATATATATATATATATATATATAATGTACCGTTTATACATCAAATGATGAGTTATTACGGTATACATCATATTCAGTAGATATATATATATATATATATATATATATATATATATATATATATATTACAATTGAGGGAAAATTTTATGTTGACAGGTTTCTCTGGTGAAAATAGTCATCGGCAAAATATGTCAACAAAACATTTTTACAACTTGTCATATTCTTACCATAATTTAAATTACAAACACACGCTTGTGCCAACACATATGCGCATACACACACATACACACACACACACACACACACACACATGTACATACATACACAGATATAGAGAGATTGAGAGAGAAAGAAAAGCTAGAGAGAGAGAGAGAGCGATAGAAAGAGAGTGTGGCCATGCGCCTGCAAATGATTAGAACGTTCGCTTTCTGGCGATGAGATCCTGCTTCGAATTTCACTATGGTCGTTTCTCATTTCATGGACTTGAAAACCATACGATCTTGAAAACCATACTATGTGTTAACCTAAGTCTTGCAGCTTGATGAAATTGTTCAGAAGACGTCAATGGTTGTCCTAACACGTAGTCACAAGTCATCGTGACCGAGCTTTCGAGTTACGTAAAATCATTACAAGAAGTAAACAATATAATGATTAAAGAAATCTCCTAATCTCGAATCGATTGCTGTAATCTGCTTTTCTTATTTGAGATTTTTTGGAAAAACTAAAAAAAATCAGTTTAACTCATTGTCAACATAAAATTTTCCCCAAACTGTAATATATTTACCATATTTATATACACATATTCATTATGAAATGGACAAAGTCCGACAATTATTTTTAAGATATATTTATATTTTATGTTTATAGGTTCTTTTTATAGATAAAAATATTTAAGTAAATGCTGTTTATAATAAACAGTATTAACAAGATTTTTAACTGGAAAAAGAACGTATAAATATAAAAAATGTCTTAAAAAATAATTGTCGGACTTTGTCCATTTCATAATGTGTGACGTCATTTATTTACATTTAGATACGCATTGAGCAGATATGAATGTATGAGACAAAATCAGAGAGTATTGTGTTTAAAAACAGTAAAATCGACCTTGCTAGTCGAACGCTCCTCTGTGGCCCAACCGGTTAAAGGCACGTCAGGCTATATGACGGTTCCGTGTAGGATACAGGTTCGATTCCTATCAGAGGAAGTATATTTTCTATGAAAATTTCTCGGACAATTCAGGCCAGTAAATGTTGTTTATTATAAACAGAGCATTTACTTAAATATTTGTATCTATAAAAAGAACGTATAAACATGAAAAATACATATTCATATATATAATTATTTATTCGAAAATTATAACATAAATATGTTATAAAATCACTACAAAAATAGTCATTTTGTTTCAACACTTCTGGTGTCTTATCAAGTGATGGTGTTGAATGTAGAATAAAGGGTATATATATATTCCTTCCCGTTTGGTTCTGACCGTCATTACACGTTTTTATTGTATAAGATGGCAATAATAGTTTATGATCTAAAATTAGAGTTAGTTTTCGGAGTAATTAGACTAAAGCCATGTTAGCCACGTTAAGGAAATTCGAAATGAAATACTAAGATATATCGACTCCAATCTAAAAATGATGTCTGTTTTAAAATGAAAGCAGTTTGCGTGTTCATTCTTGTAATGTCTGATGGTGAAATTACATTAAGAAGATTAATGATACCAAAATTATGATTACGAAAAGAAACTTATTAAGAACCATTTTGCCGGTATACAAACACCATCGATATAATTAATGTTCTTAGATAGAAAATAAACCATAGAAATATCCATAGCTTCATAGGCAAGCATAAAAGAAGCATATTCCTTGCAAGCTAAAAATTTGTATGGTTAGAAAATTCACATTTCTTCTCCTTCATCAGCAATATTGGTATCCTTTTTTATCTAGTTGATTATTTTAATGCCTTAAGTTTTTTATGAATCTTATACACTTGGGGTTCCAAAAAATGACATGTATTCAATGACTAAATATTTGAGCATTTGTTGTAATTTCTTTACAAATTGTGTTGATCATGATAGAGTTACACCGTTTACTTAATTTAAAATTATTATTGAGCGTTAAATAATTTTGTAGCGTTGTTGTTAATAATAATAATAATAATAATAGTTTCAAATGGGCGCAGAAATAAAAGTAAAGCAAAATATACCGACTGAATCTGCAAAATACTTAAAAAAAGAAAGCAAAGACAAATGCAACCGACCAGATACAGAAACAATGGCAAGATAAACCAATACTCTGCCCTTACCAAACAAGCTGACGTGGACAAAACCCGTACCCATCAGTGGCCACGTAGTGCAGGGTTGAAAGCTGAAACTGAAAGTTTTATCCTTGCTGCGCAGGACCAATGCTTGTTAACTAGGAATTATCAAGCATATATAATAAAATATTGTGTTAGCCCAAAATGCAGATTCTGTGATAAATATCCCAAAATAATGGGTCATCTTGTATCAGGTTGCACGATATTGGCACCCACTGAGTATAAAACCCAGCATGACAGAGTGGGCCAATATCTGCATTGGAAAATTTGCAATTTCTACGGGAAGGAAACTGAAAGAAACTGGTATGAACACCACCCAGACCCGGTTACGGAGATAGGACCTGTTACAATTCTATGGGACTACACAATACACACTGACAGAACAATCAAAGCCAACCGCCCAGACATTGTTATTAGAGACCACAAACAAAACGGTGCCTCCTTATTGATATGGCAGTCCCTGCAGACTGCAATGTATCTTTGGAGATATTCAAAAAGCTGTCAAAAATACAAGGACCTTTGAAATAGAAATCTCAAAATGTGGCATATGGAAACATCAACAATCCCCGTTGTAGTTGGAGCCCCAGGGACTGGTTGGAAAAAGATTCAGTAGACTAATTGAAGGGATTCCTGGAAGTCCATGCCTCAAAGAGATACAAAAAATTGTTTTGACAAGTACAGCCCACACTTTACGAAGGGCTTTATCTATGTAATTTTCTTTTTTTTTTTGTCAGTGGAAAGTGTCATGACGCCATTTCTAACCTTAGGTCCCTGGGCGGGACTCGGAAAGAAATATGTAAACGCCAGAAATCAAAGGAAATAATAATAATAATAATAATAATAATAATAATAATGACTTCCCATCGTACTGGGACTTACTGTCATATCATGTTGAAACACCGATTCACGTATAAACATCGAAGTTAAGCAACGTCGAGTTTGATTAGTACCTAGATGGGTGACCACTTGGGAATACCAGGTGCTGTAAGCTTGGATGTGCGTGTGACGTAATGGATAATGGCTCAGAATAAGAAATTGGATAACCGAGGTCGAATTCTAGTCGGATTCGTTGCATTCACTTAGGCGTAAATACCCTTGGCAAAGGTATGAATCCACCTCTTCTCCCTCTATGGGTTAAATACTAGGACGTATCAGAAACTCATTATTACAATCACGAAAACATTTTTCGGATTTAAGCAGAGACACGGTGGAGTAATGGATAGTGGCTCGGATTGAGGAATTGACGAGCCGAGTTCAAATTCTAGTCAAATCCATTACATTCACTTTTGTGCTAATACCCTTGGGAAAGGTATGAATCCTCCTCTTCTCCCCCCAACTATGGGTAAATAGCAGAACAGAGCGGGTTCTCTAGCCTGGAATGACAACTGGTCTACTGCGGGAAAAATCTGCCTCGTCAGTCATGTATCGAAAGATGCATGATCGCCTAAGCGATAACTGACTGACAAAAGGTTGATAAGCCATAAAAAAAAAGAAATAAATTAAATAACCATGTTACCCAAATAAATTTGTGGTTATCAATGATGAATTTCTCTTTGTCCATCCATTTTTAGCAATTTTTGTCCATGAACGTTTTTATTATCTAATTTAATTATTTTTCTATTTTAATCGTAAAAAAAATCTTTCTGGTTTATATTTTGTGAGAGTGAAAGACTAAAAATTTAGCTGAAGGTCCCAAAGTAATGAATTATTCTTTTTGTTGTTATTGTTGTTGTTCTTGTTTTTCATGACGGCATAAGAAAAAAATAATGGTTGTTTATAGTTAACAATACAGTAAAGATGATTTCAAAGCTTTGTACGTCCTGGGTATGACGATAAACTACGTCCAGCAGCTGGGCCTCTGATCAGGAGGTTTTGACGAGGGTGAAACCACCTCTTAATTGCTGGTGTTCCCAGGTCCACCCTGACCCGGGATGGCAGTACCTGTTAGGGTCCCAGCTATGGGCAAATAGTTAACACCTAAACTTGTGTAAAAATAGGTTTTAATACGAGAAATACTTTGTAATAAAAAAATTATTACCAGCAATAATTTTTTGAAGGAAAAATTATTATCAGCAATACTTAAAAAAAAATACCAGTAATACAAACAGCTATACATTCTTTGAAAAAAATGGAGAATGGAACTCAAAATACAAAATAGTGCGAACAAAATATTATCAAGTGAGTAATTTAAAAAAAAACTTTTACGAATATAAAACCATCAAGATTGTAAATTTCCTAAAAAAATTTGGATTGTACTGAAAAATATGAGTAATTGAAAAATGGTTCGTATATATATATATATATATATATATATATATATATATATATATATATATATATATATATAATATATGTGTCTCTCCACTTCATAATAACACCAATACACACAATCTACATAAATCCAAATTTTTTTTTAAATTAATCAGTTTGTCTGACGATCGCAAAAGCGTGAAACCCAGGGTCACAAACTTACATCAATCCAATCAAATATACATATACATACACACCTTTTTTACTATCGCTATGAATCAAAAATTTTGTTCGCATTAATTGACCCACTGAGGTTTTGATATGCCATAAAACAAAACAACCAAACAACAACCAAAACTTGTGTAAAGATTCTGAATCTGATATTACCTCACTACACTAATGTTAATGTATCTGATATTACCTCACTACACTAATGTTAATGTATCTGATATTACCTCAATACACTAATCTTGATGGTGGTAAGCCATAATGTATTATGGACGTGGAGATTAAATAACAGCTTCATACTTTACAGTCAGCAGATGTTCCCTATTTTTTAGCTCACCGGAGGGGTTTAGTAGTCATCTTACGACTATTAGCTTTTTTATTGACAGTTATTTCATGATGACCTGTTAAACGGTCCCCCCCTCCCAAACAAGTGTAGCCGATATGACAACGAGTTTGTGTTCCATTGCTATTTCATAAATTTTCATGCTCGGACTCGAAAATCGAGTACAGAAGTATGGCACAGGAAAGCGACATCGCGCAAGGAGACTTACTGATCAAGCAAGACGGAATTTGTCGAAACATCGTAACTTGAACATATGGAGATATTCAACAGAAAGTCAGCAGAAAGGAAAGATACTGACGTAGAGCATGCAACCGAAAATATAAAGAAAGAAACTAAGTAAAACGTTCAGATTATTTATAAAACTTTAATTGGAGAAAAGGGAATAAAATTGACGAAAGAAAAAAATTCAGAAGACAAACTGTCTTTATGATCTCTGAGGAATGAAGTGAACATTGAAACGGATAAAATTTTGCTATGTCGTCACACTGACAATATAACTAAACCACTTAATATATGCGGGAGCAATTTCTTTTTTTAAAATTCATTTCACCTCTAAGCAAGGCAGCAAAGCCACTAAGACGCATAGGGTTACTGAGTGTGAAATAATATAAGAAAAAGAAAACATTATCAAGGAGTAAGAACAATAAAAAAACAGGAATTAAGAAGACAGAAGATAACGATTGACATTGAATTTAATTTTTTGAAGATTAAACTTGACTGGAAAGCAAGAGGCTGGGAGGGAAAGTTTGATGTTGGGAAAAAAAAAGAAAAAAATGATCCACAGATCAGCAAAGACATAGAAGCCGGCTGGGAAATGTGACTCTAGAGCCAGAAAGAAGAAAAATATGTGCAGATGTCAAATAAGAAAATGAAAATACCATGAAGATTACATTGCAAAGGGGAAAATATAAAATGCTAAACAAAGGTCCAGTTGACAAAACGAAGAACATAAATCAAGACTTTGACTACGATAAACAAAGTCAAGATTTACGAATATAGAATTTAGTGCCATAAATAAAATATTTCAGCTTAAAAATCAACTGAGTGAAACTGAGAGAGGGACAGGTGATTAAAATAACCGTGTAGAACTGAAGAAAAAAATATAAAAAAAACTAATATACCTAAATTATTTACCAAATCTGTTTGAATTAAAATATGATCCTAAATATATACACAATATATATATATATATATATATATATATATATATATATATATATATATATATATGTATATAAAAGAAAAAACAGTAAGATATATAATCCGGTGTTCTTATAGATATTTTATTTTACAAAAATAGTGCTCAATAAATTTACAGAGCATTAATATTATAAATTAACTAATTTTAAAATATGGTTTTCTTCGCTTCCACAGTTCTAACCATGTTTCAAAAATGGGAGCTAAATTAAAAGTAAAGTCATTAGTTCCATTTTCATCCTCAAGCGAATAGTCTTGAGGATGAAATAAAAGCTCAATATTTTAATTTAATTACAAAATTAAATTCAAACTTTTAGCTTCCATTTTTTTGAAACATGGCTAGAACAGCGAGAAAAACCATATTTAAATCAATTCAATTTATAATACACAATATATATATATATATATATATATATATATATATATATATATATATATATATATATATATATATATGCACATTTCATTGATTAGGAGATACAAGAAGCTTTCATTTAGTTTTTTATACAATATCTCATGGGATCTAATAATTTTTTTCTTTTAAGATGATAAATTATATAAAAAAAAATTAAATAGGACAAATATTATTTACGAATTTAAATGCCCATTAAGAAATTGTATTCCTGATCAATCAAAATTCGTAAATAGTTATATACGCCATACTACAACATGTTTGACATGAAGACTCACTCTACACCGTTCTGACCATAGTTCAATTAGATCTCAGTTGACACAACGAAGAACATAAAACATAACTTAGACTACGAAAAACAAAGATGTACGAATACAGAATTTAGCGATATAAATAAAATATTTCAGCTTAAAAATCATGTGTGTGAAATTGAGAGAGGGACAGGTGATTAAAATAAGCGTGTAGAACTGAAGGAATTACAAACTCTGAAGGTTTTGAGCCACGACTGGAATCCATTAGTTTCTGGTTTTTAAAATTACACAAATACAAAAATACTGAAAATTGATGACGAAGTAAAAGACGACTCTTATCCGGAAAGACACAAAAGAATGAATTACTTGGCTTATAAAATGTTTACCTATAATGATGAAAACGGGAGAAACTATGAAAAAGCTGCGGATTTCTCTCTGTGAAATAGAAAGAATACCAAAAAGAAACCAAATGTGCATATTTTGCAAAATTCTAACGTTTTGAAAAACCACGGGAAAATCAATCACCTAATGATTTTTTTTTAAAATTACCAAAAATAAAATGGAATTGAAAACCTTAATATAAACGGGCACGATTCACACACATTATTGAGGACAGGTTTAAATTGTTAATAATATACAATGCGGCGATGCACAAAAAGAAAAACAGTAACAACACTAAGAATTGAATCGTCCTACCAGGAATTTATCAGGTCACTGAATAACAAATAAAATTGCCGGTATCTTGAAATAATGGAAGCAGAATGAAAAATAAAAAACAAATCAACCGTAGAAACTTATAATGAAAAGGCAGTGTAAATTCAGCCACTCCAGGGCCCTTCCTAAACTGACAAGAACTGAAAAAAAAATGACTCTCGAATAAATCTAATGACGATACATGATCAGTGAGAGAATAACGTCAATGGACTCAACATTATATAGGACTACATAAACTGTCATGTGACCTGAGAACTAAACATGAATGGCAACAAGCAAAAATTACAAAAAATGCTGACTTAGGCGCAAAATGGTAGATGAAAGCCATACGCAAAACTTCCACGTACAGCTCAAAGAGATGAATTAATTTATTAGATGAAAAGAACACGAACAAAGCTTTGAAGAACATCTTTAAAAGAATAGAAGTGAAAGTATCTATTAATGGCGGCTAAAGAACCAATTTTAGTTGAGAGCAAAAATGGACAGGACATAGGGAAAATAATTAAGGCAACCGATATAGAGATAGAGAATTGGTGGGTAAGAGAAATGAGAAAGGCAAGTGCAGTCCGTAAAGCAAATGCAACAAGATTGGCT